TCTGTTTTCCGTGTAAAAGTAATTTGTGTTTAAGCTGTGTAAATGTAATCATTGATTATAAGGCCATTGTCTGTGTATTAACAGTCATAATTACAGTTTTCTCAGTCACACTTTATTTTAAGGTCCAATTCTCACTATTATATGACTTTTGCCTCAATAAACTCCTACTAAGATGAAAATTACAGGCCTCTCTCATCTTTTTAAGTGGGAGAACTTGCAAAATTGGTGGCTGACTAAATACTTTTTTCCCCACTGTATACTAAAGTGTTGCCGTTCCCTATCGATACTTCACTCGTACTGCGTCTGTTTAAGACGCTTTGGGAAAAACTCCTTTTTCTCCGATGACTGAAGCCTTTTAATAACATTATTAAAACGAACCAATGGCTCGGCAGCTCTATGGCGGTAAAGCCCGCCAAAGCCTGCCAGAATGGGTGGGGTCATCTGGCTATATAAGCGGCACATCACCATAGGATCCTCAGATTTCTTCTCCTTCATCGCTGATCTACAAGACTCGAAGCCTCTCGCCGTAGAATCGCCTTTGCAGCGGATCAAGCTGAACCAGCGACCCTCTGCTCCGCTGATTCGCCGCTTCTCCGCCGCCTTCAGCGTCGCAGCAGCAGCGGTCCCAGCTGATTCCCTGCCACCATGTGGCGAGCCTAAAAGAGCTTATTTCTGGGTAAGTTCTAAAAGAGCTAAATTTCTAGCGACGTTTTTGCAAATGTTGCACTGCGAGTGAGGCTCGTGCACGGAATCTTGCACGATGCAGAAGGGCAGTGAGTGCGTCGCCTGTCTGAGCAGCCCCCACACAGAGACTGCACTTCACTAAGCGGAATGCTTTCGCCGAGAGCATGAGTCTTGTTCTTCTCCACTCGCGGACTGCCTTCATTGAAGGCAGCCCCACTCTCCCGTTTCTCCTCTCTCAGCGAGCCTCGGAGAGAGAAACAGAGGAGTCAGGGAACTAAGCAACCGGTCTGAGCGTTCGCATGCCGGCACTACCCCCGTGCTCACTCTCCCCGCTGCGCTTTGATCCACCGCAGTAGGGCAGTGAGCTGTGCGCTCACTGAGACAGAATGCTCACTCAGAGCATGAATCTCGCTCTTCTCCGCTCGTGGACTGCCTTCAATGAGGCAGCCTTGCTCTCCCGTTTCTCCTCTCTCAGCGAGCCTCGGAGAGAGAAACAGCGAAGTCTGGGAGCTAAGCAACCGGGTCTGAGCGATATCATGCAGACACAGAGCCTGCATGCTCGCTCTCCCCACTGCGCTTTGATCCATGTCTTACACATGAAGATCAGCGCCCCTCTTTACATCGAGCGGCTCTATTTTCCTAGGTTGATCGAAGCAGAATGCTGTCACTGACAGCTTCAAATTGGTTTGTGTGTGTCGCTATGTCTGCGCTCACAGAGACGCTCTTGTGTTTCTCTCCTCTCAGTTACTCGGAGGAAGAAATGGCGAACTCGCGGGGATGAGCGATCAGGCATGAATGATTTAACGCCGGCAAGTCCCCGCATGCATCACTCTCCACGCAGCTCTTTGATCTGCCAGTGTGTTTACACGTGAGGATCGGAGCAGAACGCTGTCACCAATGATTCAATAATCGCTGACAGCTTCGTATTTGAATACGCCTCTCGCCTGGGCCACGCCCACACTGAAGCTGCGCTCGCTGAGACAGATCGCTCTCACTACGAGAGTTCATGTCTCGCTCTGCTTAGCTCGCGGCTCGTCTTCTTCAATGAATGCAGCCCCGCCCCTCCCCTCGTCCGCCACAAGCGGATCTGAGAGAATGCACGCAGCACTTTTGATCTGCCTGAGTGTTTACACATAAAGATCATCAGTACTCCTCTTCTAATGAGTGGTTTGATCTTTTTAGGGGGATTAAAAGGGAATGCTGTCACTTATGATTATTATCACTGACAGCTTCAAATTTGACGCGTCTGGGCCACGCCAGGCAGCGCGCACGGGGGCTGACTGCTCTCGCTATGAAAGAATTAAGTCTAGCAAAGCATTTTTTGAAAGCATTTTCAAAAGAGAGCAAAATTCCTCTTCTGAGTGTGGGGTCCCCATACGGTGACCAGCCGCCTGGCAGGCCATCCCCGGAGTGCCAGACTGGGTTTTGGGGATAATAAAACAAGGTTATTCTCTGCAATTCGCTCAAAGACCCCCACGAAGCAGTGGTGTGGTTCCCACCTCGGTTAGGGCAAAGACGCGCACGTCCTGCGCTCCGAGGTGATGAATTTGCTGGCGATAGGAGTTTCCCTAGCTCAAAGCAAGTCAGGCTTCCGCAGCCACTATTTTCCTCATCCCCAAATAGGATGGCAATGGTCGCCCATCCTCGATCTCAGGCACCTGAACCAAGCTTTCATGAAACGCTGTTCAGGATGAATACATTGAAACAGATCCTTTCGCAAGTGTGCCCAGGGGACTGGTTCTTTTTGCTGGATTTGAAAGGCGGCTCTATGCCCTTAAATGGTCTGTCTTCTCCGCCTGGTGTATGGCCCGCGGCGCAGATCCAAAATTCCTGTGACATATCTCTGATATTGTCCTTCCTGCAGGAGCTGTGGGATAAGGGTCGTTCCCCTTCCATACTCAAGGTCTATGTAGCAGCCATAGCAGCCTCACACGCTCCTATAGCTGGCCAGTCAGTGGGCAGGAACAACCTAGTTGTTCGCTTTTTGAAAGGGTCTAGGAGGCTCAACCTGCCTCGCCCTGTCACCGTCCCTGCATGGGACCTGCCCACGGTGTTGAGGGCTCCTTTCGAGCCGCTACAGTCTGTTGACCTTCGTCCCCTGATGCTTAAAACTGCTCTGCTACTAACATTAGCATCGGTAAAGTGTATGGGAGATCTGCAGGCACTATCAGTGAGCCCCACCTGCCTTGAATTCGGGCCCGACTACTCTAAGGTCGTCCTGAAACCAAGGCATGGTTATGTACCTAAAGTGCTCTCTACTTCATTTAGAGCACAGGTGATAACTCTATCGGCGCTTCCTCCTTCGGAGCAAGACCAAGAGTTGAACTTACTCTGTGCCGTCAGGGCGCTGAAAGTCTATGTTGAGCGTTCCGCCCCATTCAGGCAGTCGGATCAGCTATTTGTATGCTTCGGTGGCCGCACCAAGGGTTGTACGGTTACGAAGCAGAGACTTTCCAAATAGATAATTGACGCTATTATGCTAGCATACTCTTCTTTGGGCCTTCAAGGCCCAATGGGAGTAAGAGCCCACTCAACTAGAGTCGTTACCTCTTCCTGGGCCTGGTCTAGCGGTGTGTCCATTGCAGAAATTTGTGTGGAGGTCGGCTGGGTTTCTCCGTCCACATTTGCCAGATTCTATAGTCTGAATATCCCGGCTTTACAGGCGTGGGTCCTTTCTGCATAGTAGGGCACACTGTCGTATGACAACCAGTGCTTCGCGTTTGCCTCCTTCATGTATGCTCTTGGCCCTCAGTGAGTTCCGAGGTTGTACCGAATTATTTTGGGACGATGATACAAGGCTGGGCCAACCTCTCTGAGTTCAGCCCTACTGCCTTTTGCGGGGCTTAAGCACCCCCTTGGGTGCTTAAGGCAAGTTCAAGTATTAGTCGTTCCTCTAGCATAGCACGGCGGGATTGTACTGGTTCCCCAAAGCGTCTTAAACAGACGCAGTACGAGTGAAGTATCGATAGGGAACATACTCGGTTACTAACGTAACCTCGGTTCCCCGAGATACGGAACGAGTACTGCGTACTTTGCCGTGCTATGTAGGTGCATGACGCAGTCGTCGCTTCAGTCGAAGTAACCTGAGGATCCTATGGCGATGTGCTGCTTATATAGCCAGATGACCCCGCCCATTCTGGCAGGCTTGGCGGGCTTCGCTGCCGAGCCATTGGTTTGTTTTAATACACTGCACGAACCAATGGCTGTGCAGTTACACTGCGTTATTAAAAGGCTTCAGTCATCGGAGAAAAAGGAGTTTTTCCCAAAGCGTCTTAAACAGACGCAGTACTCATTCCGTATCTCAGGGAACCGAGGTTACATCAGTAACCGAGTATGTTTTCTCTGCCCACATCACTGGTCTTATGCAGAGCTAAAGCTTAATTCTCATCCTCAAAGTGCTGCTCGCCATTGACTGAGCTGTCCATGCGGTCTCTTGATTTAAACGAACCACATCATGAACTTGCAGATGGAGAGTTACAGGCGTCTGAGGTTTTCTCCTTCCTCACTATAAAGGGAAACATATATTTAAACATTGCTCAGAGAAGTATTTATAATAATAGATGAGGAATGAAACAGTGTGAACTTGTACATGTTTTGACTTGCACTCCAGTAGCTCCTTCCTGCTAAATTCTCTTGTTTGATTTATGCTTACTTTAATCCTCACATATCACTGGATGTTCTCTCATCCCACAGTATTTCTGTTTTCTGTCAGAAATGAGATGGTGAGGTGTGACGCTGGCTTCTGATACTGTCATTGTCACTTACTGTAAAGACACACAGACACATGAGTAGGTTATTAATTTAATATTTCACACACACAATGTCTCAGTATCTCCACATCTCCAAATGACATGTTTTTGTAATTATTATGATAGTACTAAAAATAAGTGTGCTTCTTGAAAAATAAAAAAAAGATGCTTAAAAAGTAATTAATAATTATTTTTATTTTATTATATTCAATATACTTTGGCATCTTGTTAAAAGATTAACACAACAACAATGCATTACAATGACGAAATAACATCACACTGAATTAATAGAGGCATGGGCCAATATAATAACTAGTTGTTATCATTACAAAATCAAACGTACATCTTTGATAAAATACCTGTATATAAATGTGTGTTTGTGTGCCTTTGTAAAGTAAAGCTGTCGCGTTCGTACTTCAAGCACGCAACAGGTTTGAAGGAAATTAACAAATCTCACAGTCTCACGTGACCATTATCCTTTGTCTAATCCAGTTTGTCTTGGCCTGTTTGGTCATCCTCCACAGGAGGGCGCAGAGTCTCACTCTCCCCCTCTACACTGTCCCAGTCTGGCGTACCAAAACAAATCCTCCATCCTTCCGTGCAATGCGATCCCACACCACCTTCCGGCTCTCTCAGCAAGTTTGTGTGAGCCAGCCTCTGATAGTGTTCATAGAAAGACCGAAGTTTATCCGGAGGTACAGGCGTGAGGAATGGTGTCCCGGTGCGATTCATGCAGGACAGAGCACCTAAATAACGAGCGACTCACCGGTGTTGTGCCGAACATTAACCCGCTATCGGCAGGACGCCCGCTCCGGTCTATCCCGACAGACAGCAGCGAGGTTTGGTTGAGCTCAGATCCCAAACAGCTCCCACACAGGTGGGACAGACAGACAGACGGCTGTTTGAAGTTGACGAAAAGGTGCGTAAAGTGAAATGTTGCGCTTCTGTCTCTGTTTGTGTTTCACCTGCTTTTCGTCTCGCTGTCTCAGTTGTTCTCCACACTAATGAAGCAGGCTAACTAGTCAAATCAGCTAACAAAGAAACTCACACGCGAGCTGTTTACATTTCTTACCATTACAAAATATACCATGGTAACCACTGTATACGCCAAAATACCATAGTTACTGTATGTATTCTCAAGTTTTCTCAAGAAAAGTAGTTTGGAATTAGTATTATGTAATAGCTTGTCAACAAAAACAAAATGACAAATATTGTGAAAGCTTCTTGCACTGTTAGGAAGGGGCCATAAACTCATATTTGCTATTTTTAACTAGTTTTTATTCTGCAAACGTGTACTATGGTATTTTAAGGGTCTTTGTGTTTTTATTTCACCATATAGATGGACATATCCATAAAGTTTTAAATAAGGCGGTCTTTACATTTCTGCATGCATTATTTCTTCTTTATTTTACGGTGCAGAATGTGTTTTTATATATATATATTTTTATGAATAACAATGACTTCAACAAAAACAAAATGACAAATATTGTGAAAGCTTCTTGCACTGTTAGGAAGGGGCCATAAACTCATATTTACTATTTTTAACTAGTTTTTATTCTGCAAACGTGTACTATGGTATTTTAAGGGTCTTTGTGTTTTTATTTCACCATATAGATGGACATATCCATAACGTTTTAAATACGGCGGTCTTTACATTTCTGCATGCATTATTTCTTCTTTATTTTACGGTGCAGAATGTGTTTTTATATATATATATATATTTATGAATAACAATGACCATGTTATTGTTTTCAGCATAAGCATTAGTTGAGTTTTAGCTGTTTGTTTCTGGTAGTTGTTAATCAAGTTTTTCTCCAGTCAGTCAAACTGTAGGTCTGTTGTTATGTAGGTCTGTTGTCTGTGATTTTATTCTTGGTAATATTGTGCATGTCTTACAAGTTTCTCAATCAGCTTTGTTCTGTCTAGAAACATTTGCATACAGTACATGAGTTTGTCTTTGAAGGGGATGGTATCATCTACACTGCTGTTCAGATGTTTGGGGTCAGTCAGAGGTTTTTTTAAAGAAATGAAAACTTTTAATTAGCAAGGATGCTGTAAATTCATCAAAAGTGAATGTAAAGACATTTATAATGTCACAAATGGTTTCTTTTTCATAAAAGAAGCCTGAAAAAATGCATCACCGTTTCCACAAAAATATGAAGCAGCATAACCATTTTCAACAACAATAATAAAAAGAAATGTTTCTTGAGCAGCAAATCAACCTATTAGAATGATTCCTGATGGATCATGTGACACTGAATCACAGAAATAAGTTACATTTGAAAATATATTAAAATAGAAAACTATAACAGCGACTTAAAAACAGCATATTTATATATGCGTTCACTTTTTAGTATTCACATTTTTCTTTGTGATTCCACTTTCCCAGTAGTCTTTCCTAGCAGGTGTGCTCTAAATGATTTTCTGCTGGTTATTTACACACAGATATATGATGACTGGTGTCAGCTGTGTATTCAGGGGATGAGCTTCATGTGTGTGTGTGCTGAAACCCTGCCAGTCCTGTTCATTCATTGATGCCGTTGGCTCAGGTCGAGCATGAAAAGTATTTTCCTTCTGCAAAACTGGCTGAACCAGAGTGTCAGTTGTGCGCACACACGCACTGAAAAAAGACAGGAAACACAGTGGCATAAAAAGGCGTAGTTGAAAAATGGTAAAACTATACATACAATTGCTACATTCTTTCTTAGTGTGTCAATCACCTGTGCTCACTGCCATTTTTTAAATGGTTTTTAATTATATTTTTATTTTCTTTTTAAGTACACAAGTATTTTGTTTGACTTTTTAGCAGTTTGGCTTGTTTGTTTTTTTGAATAATTATTTTTAGCTCAGAGATTTTCTTTGCAAAGTTAGCTGGAAAGAGGGTGAGGTTAAGAGCGTTGTTGTTGTTGTCCTAAAACCACTTGCGTGTAAAAGTACTTAGAAATTTAAAGTATGGATACTTTGTCAGAATTATACAATAAAAGTCAAAGTATCTTACCTAAAACATACCAGAGTGAAAGTATAAGACATTTCTGCTTTTCGTTGTATTCAAGTATTTCAAAGTAAATATTATTATCATTATTATATATATATTTTAAATGGACTGAAATCAAGACTGTCAATGGTTTTTGGTTCACCCAAAAATAAGAATTTGCTGAAAATGTACTCCCTCTTAGACCATCCAAGATGTAGATGAGTTTGTTTCTTCATCGGGAACAGATGTACATCACTTGCTCACCAATGGATCCTCTGCAGTGAATGGGTGCCGTCAGAATGAGAGTCCAAACAGCTGATTAAAACATTAGAATAATACACAAGCAATCCACACCACTCCAGTCCATCAATGAATGTCTTGTTAAAGTTCATTAAGGCATTTTAACTTTAAACCATCGCTTCTGGCCAAAATATCAGTAATCTGTAATAATAACGCTTCACAACATGTTAATTAATGGACTGGAGTCATGTGGATTATTGTGATGTTTTTATCAGCTGTTTGGACTCTCATTCTGACGGCACCCATTCACTGCAGAGGATCCACTGGTGAGCAAGTGATGTAATACTAAGTTTCTCCAAATCTGTTCTGATGAAGAAACAAGCTCATCTACGGATGAGTCATCTTGGATGGCCAGAAAATCCAAAATCGTCAGCAAATTTTCATTTTTGGGTGAACTATTCCTTTAAAGTACTTTGATGCACAAATGCAAAGCAACTTGTTTAATCACAATTCCTTAGTGTCCTGAGTATGTAAGGCAGTACAGCACAACACACTGAGTGTTAAACTGAAACCGATATCCTGAAATCTGTTACCTAAAATTGTTTAATGTTAAATTGAACAGCAGCTGTTATTGGCCATTTTTTTGATACTAGAATATATAGTATATAAAATACTGTCTTTACACTCAAGTCAAGTTTGTCTTCAACAATGGTCAATAAACACATTTACGATGTATTTCTTTAGGACAAAGACTGTTGTTAGACTGATGAGACGTCTCTTCACAAGCATTACTTTTTACTTAAGTAGTAACATTCACTGTAACGTGAGCTCAGTAAGAAAGCATTTATTTTTATGATGATAAATTTATGTCATGGTGATCAGTAGCATATATGTACCTTGTACTTGAAGTATTTAAATTAAACTGAAAGTAGTAGAAAGTGACCTGGGTGGTGTACAGGCGATACTACCCCTCTCTTTCTTCTACTTTCTTTACGTTCTTATAAATAAAAAAGAAATTAAACCCAATGAAATAGATGTAATCAATAAGTTAGAAAGGATACTTTACGTCCTGGGTGTGTTATGTTATGTATTGCTGGGTAATTGTAAATAATCTGCAAGCATGTTTCCTGTTAATTTTTCTTCTTAATCTCTCTGTATAGGGCTCCTAAAGCCATTACATCTTTATGGTATTGTAGAACAGTAAATTCCGTTTGATAACATAATGAGTATGATTATCTGTGTGAACCCAGTTACTCTTTTATTCTGCCACTCCTAGTTGAAAAGCATGTTTAATGTCCAGCAGAGTCACTCGTTTTATGCTCTGATTCCCACAGGATCTCTGGCAGCTTCTTCTTAAATGTGACCCTGGACCACAAAACCAGTCATAAGGGTCAATTTTTCAAATTGAGATTTATACATCATCTGAAAGCTGAATAAATAAGCTTTTGTTTCCATTGATGTATGGTTTGTTAGGATAAGACAATATTTGTCCGAGATGCAACTATTTGAAAATCTAGAACCTGAGGGTGCAAAAAAAAAAAAATACTGAGAAAAAAATCGCCTTTAAAGTTGTCCAAATGAAGTTCTTCGCAATGCATATTACTAATCAAAAATGAAATTTTGATGTATTTACAGTAGGACATAACAAAATATCTTCATGGAACATGATCTTTACTTAATGTCCTAATGATTTTTGGCATTAAAACAATGTATTTTTGGCTATTGCTACAAATATACCCCAGTGACTTAAGACTGGTTTTGTGGTCCAGGGTCACAAATGACAGTTGTTGATTTAGGCTCTTTGATGGACAGCTAATGCAGTGCCTGAGGATGGTTTTCTTGCTTATCTTTCTACTGGAATCTGATTTGATTGAGTGATATTTACAGCCTTGGTTTAGGTTCCTAGAGCTTGACTGTGTGGGGCTGACTGTGTTTTTTAGAATTGATTTGACAGTGAAGGTCAGGCCATAATTTTGAGACCAGGTTCAACATGGTGGGAAAGTTTTTCAAGTTGAGTGCTGTATATAAACTTATTTGGTAGCACCGAAATCTTTCATGCTGGCAAAATATTTAGTGCTTGCCCATCACCAAACAAGAATTTGGTTTATGTAGTAGTTTATATATTTCAGTAGAAATAGATTAAATGACAGTGATTTCTTCTGTATATAAAAATGAATGGGGGAAAAAATATGAAGAAATATCTGGGTAATATTTTACAAAAAATAAATTAATAAATATTATTTATTTATTTAAATAAATATAAATAATATTTTATCTAAAGAAGGTGAAGCCTATGTTTAGCCCCATTATACAATTTTTGTACTGTAATATTAGTGTAATGTGAAAAAATATAATAATCAAAATTTAAAGCATAAATGTATGTAAAAATACATACATTTTACACACATACAAATGTATGTATGTATGTAAAAATAATCTTAAAACAGGTTCAAATGTAAAACTTTAACTTTTTTAGATGAATTATTTATATTTATTGTAATTGTCTATATAATTTCTTTTTAGAGACACATTATATAACTTTTAGCACTCTAGCGTTTTGAGGCATAAGGTTTGCAGTTACCAAGGATTCTTCCAAGTTCCAAGATTTGAGATTTGCAGTATGACTTCGGTGCTGCTAACTTTAATACGGAGGTGTAAAGATCTGTTTTAAAGTTTCTAGGTTAATGGCTGGATCATGTTTGTGTGTAAACGTGTCTCCACGGGATGCCAGAAACGACTTCCCTAAACACAGGTTTTGAAGCTGTAGATATTAAACATTCCAGCTGCAGAGGCGTTTCCTGTCAACAAGCGACTGCCAGTCCATGCACTCAGACCAGGATCCTCCTCCTTTCCTTACTTCGCAGTTGTTCTCCCTCTTTCGATTCATCTGTTGGCCATCCCCCTCCTTCCATGTCACTACTTCTGGCCCCCTTGCGCAACCACACAGCTAAGATTTCACTAGCGGAGACATATCAAATGTGTTGGTTTGCTTGCTAATCTGTAGATGTAGGTCAAGTGCTGGTAAATATCTGGCTTCGATCTATGTGTGTGCTTGTTTTGTGTTCATTTGTTTGTAAAAAGAGACTGATGAAGTCTAATTTGCATGTTGCGTAATTGTGTAGATTTCGGGAATGTGTTTGTGTGGTTGAGTCTGTGCTGTGTGCCTCAAAATCTTTGTAACATTCTCGTTTGACTTTTCAATTATGATATTCAATGATTTCAACAAGCTGTATCATTGTCAACAAGTTTACATGTGTATATGTGTGCATGTGTGGAGACTTCAAAATTGCAAAGGACACTGATACCTTACTTGTGCAGAAGTAACGGTGTCTGACCATGCTGTATTCCCTGCAACAGAGTCTGGCTCCGCCTCCTCTCCATATGATATGACATCACTCTGCGGTTACCACAGAAACCAGGGCTCCACTGCAGACGGTTGACAGCCAAGCAGGTGAGTCATTATTGTGATGTTGGAAAACTGCAGACAAAGCACACTTTGATAACTGCACGGGGAGGCATGGCAAACGCATGTGCATTTACACAGGCATGTGAATGTGTTATGAATCACACTTGCTTACTGTGTAAAATGTAAGTGTGTGTGTGCTGTAAAAGTCTGTGTGCCCATCTAAGTGTGAACACGTGTTTGCTCTAGCGTGCGGCTTCCAAGAGTGACATGTGTACTGCATTAGCAAATATGGCTCTCTGGATCCTCCTGTGAATTCCTTTTGTTTGATGTGTATTTGCCTGTAGTAGCAGGATTTTTACGCACAGACCCGGTCTCAGTCTGGACTCTTAATTCAGCAAATTGATCCCTCCCTCCAGGGCAATGTCCAATCATGCTGATTTAATACACCCGTACACACGCACTCTCACGGCGTGATTAACGATGTGTCAGTAAAGCGTTCGATGTGCTCTTGTGAGCTCTGTATCTGCCAAGGCAAAGTCCACAGCAGAGGAGAAGAAGAGAGCATTTTTCTTCAGCTTCATAGTCGCACTCCACCACAACAACATTTCTGAGAACACTGTATTTGTTTGCGGTATAAAATTATAGTTCAGAGATTCTGCTCAGCATGTTGGATTTTAGACCGTGCTAAAACTGGCCAGTGGTTTCAACTGACTACAGACTTTTCCCGCCAACCTAAAGGAGGGTTCGCACTGACAGAGTTGAGCTATGATAAGGCGACTGAATATCATTTTAAATAAGAGCCTGTGATTTCTGGTGACATGAGTGGCAGTTGGCAGTGAAACAGTGTTGAGCCAAGCTTAACTTTATGCAAATGAGCAGGGAAAAGATTTGTCAACAAATTAAGTGCAGGAAGTGATCTGTCGCCACATACAGTTGAACACCTGACAGTTTAGGACTGCCTTCTATAAACCGACAGCCTAGTGATCTACAATTTATTCAATGTCAGAAAAAATTACTCATTTAAGTGATTGTTTGCAAATTCTGGATTTTTTTTTCTTGTTTCAGGTGGTGCGATGGCTGCCCAGGTTGAGATTGATGCTGGGCGGCCATGTGTAGTTGGGAATCGTCTGCACCTTAGCCCTCTCATAGACTCTAGCAACAAGAGCTTGGTGGAAAGTTCAGGTGGCACCCAGGGGCCACTTATTATTCCCTCTGAGCCTAACAAACCTACCCCAGGCCCCAAGCCCAGACTCACCCCAAAACCTTTCACTGTGGAGAAAAATCCTACTATACGCTCCATTTTTGCTCCCAAACCACAGCCAAAACCAAAACCTGAATCCAGTCAACCAGTTTCCTCCAAACCAGTCCTGCCCAGCACACCTAAACCACAGCCAGCCAGTAAACCCAGTCTACCACCTGCCTTTAAAACAGGACCGAAGCCCAGTGGACAAACAAACAAACCTGTGGCACAACCCTTTAAACCAGCACCTACCATCGCCTCTACTGATTTCAACAAATTTAGAACGACCCAAACTGGGGACGTGCTGAGAAGAACAAGCTTTGGAGCTACACCAGCTCGACCCAAAACTGTTGTTCAGGCCTCCACTCCTGGTGCTGAATGGCCTTTTGCTCCTCGGAAAAAACAACCCGGCTCTTCAATCACTCGTGCTAAATCACTGGGCTTCCTATCAGAGATTGGACTGAATAATGAGGACAGTAAGCAGGATTCTGTTGCCAAGGATGAGAGTTCTCCAACTGTTCTTCGCCCCCAATCTAAATGTTCAAGACCCAGACCGGTTTCAGCTGTGTTCCTCCAAAACCCCACTAAGTCTGAGTCTCAGGTTGTGTCCCCTACACCTGCTACTCGTTGGACAAAAGGACGACCCCTTTCATCTGATCTTACCTCAAAGTTTGAGTCAATTGGGCTGTCCCTAAACTGGCGACCTGCCAAGGAGGATGGCAAAGAAAACACTCCTCAAATGCCAGAGGGTGCTGTAGCTGAGACTCAAGAGAAAGAACAGGGTGCTGAAAAGGCAGAAGGGCCAAATAAGCCCCCTGTGGTTGAGAAAAGGACTCAAAAGATTGAATCGAAAGATGAGGACTCCAAGAAAGACTCTAAACCTGAGGATACAGGAGGTAGCAGTATAAAGAGACGCATCAGCTTGCTCTTGGACTCTTCTTCTTCCTCCTTCTCAGTGGCACGTGTGGATACTCCAGGGACTGAGCCTCGCTCACCGGGGCTGTCTGTCTCTGATACTGATGGAGCGGTGGGGGTGAAACAGCGAATCAAAGAACTGACCGAAGAAGTGCCTACTACACTGTCACCACCCCAGAAGCCACAATGTAAGCCACGTAACCTAGTATCTGACCGCACTAAAAGGTAAGGTCCAGCGGTTTTCACCATTCATTATTAGAGTTGTATGTATGTTAATCAGTTATCAACTTCATGTTGTATGTAAATATGTATGTACTGAAATACTTAATATGCACAGTTTTGCAGTAGTATTACTGCCTTCGGGTTTTTACAAATGAGTTTCAGTTGTAACTGACATTCAAGTGATTTTTGTGGGAATAAAATGGATGTGGTGGGCAACAACTCTCTTTTACTTCCTGACAAAAAAGAAAGTAAAAGGAAGCATTTTATTACTAGTGCAAAGAGTAAAGGATCTACATTATGTGCAAAAGTGAGTCTTTATGTATATGTGCTGGCACAGATAATTCTGAAAAGTGTAATTATGTCTCACATACCTTTTTTTCCTCAAAAGTACACAAAAAAAGTATACTACATACTACAGAAATCATAATTAATAGCAATTTGCTTTTGTCATAATTCACATTCTTTATTCTGAAAATCAAAGCAATAATATTATATATAGTATTTGTTTCTAATTATTCTGATTTGTTTACAGATTTGAGGCAGAGCTAGAAAGCCAACGCATCAGCTTGCTCTTGGACTCTTCTTCTTCCTCCTTCTCAGTGGCACGTGTGGATACTCCAGGGACTGAGCCTCGCTCACCGGGGCTGTCTGACTCTGATACTGATGGAGCGGTGGGGGTGAAACAGCGAATCAAAGAACTGACCGAAGAAGTGCCTACTACACTGTCACCACCCCAGAAGCCACAATGTAAGCCACGTAACCTAGTATCTGACCGCACTAAAAGGTAAGGTCCAGCGGTTTTCACCATTCATTATTAGAGTTGTATGTATGTTAATCAGTTATCAACTTCATGTTGTATGTAAATATGTATGTACTGAAATACTTAATATGCACAGTTTTGCAGTAGTATTACTGCCTTCGGGTTTTTACAAATGAGTTTCAGTTGTAACTGACATTCAAGTGATTTTTGTGGGAATAAAATGGATGTGGTGGGCAACAACTCTCTTTTACTTCCTGACAAAAAAGAAAGTAAAAGGAAGCATTTTATTACTAGTGCAAAGAGTAAAGGATCTACATTATGTGCAAAAGTGAGTCTTTATGTATATGTGCTGGCACAGATAATTCTGAAAAGTGTAATTATGTCTCACATACCTTTTTTTCCTCAAAAGTACACAAAAAAAGTATACTACAGAAATCATAATTAATAGCAATTTGTTTTTGTCATAATTCACATTCTTTATTCTGAAAATCAAAGCAATAATATTATATATAGTATTTGTTTCTAATTATTCTGATTTGTTTACAGATTTGAGGCAGAGCTAGAAAGCCATAGTTCCTATGAGCTCAAAAGCCCCCAGCAGGTTGAAGAAGATCTCAGCAAAAAGGTATGGGAATTTGAACCACTGTTATTAATCATACTGCCAAAGATAAAACATCTTTGCAAGGTGCAGTAAGGTATGCTTTGTTTCCAAAAAAAAAAGATATTTTAATATATATTTTTTTCAACAAACGACACCAGAGTATACTATAATTATGATAAGTCTATCACAAATTAATTGAACTAACAATAATTGCTTGTTTTCCATTTCCTGTAACATTTGTGGCAGAAGGCCCTGTTTAATGGTTTTAAAGAAGAAATATACATGTTTTAATATTTGACATTTTTTTCTGCATTTTTCATGAATACAGAAAACATGTAGCTCTTTATACTCAGAGATTTGTATTTGTGTTCTTACCATAAGACATTTTTTCTATGATAGTCATGTGTTTGATAAAGTAAACCGATATATTGTTAAAATAATAGAAAAATCCTTTTGTAAAGGGCCTTTATTACATTTGTGACAGTAACTGCCCTACTGTGGTCACAGCCCCAAAATAAATGTTGATCACTCTAAAAAAAAAAAAAAAAAAATTATATTTGAGAGTGAGAGAGAAGAATAGAGGAATAACAAATGAGGTTGAAAAAGGCACTTCTGATGTCACAGAAGGTGCGGCACTCCAAAGATGTGTAACCTGAGTTGTAGCATTAGTCATATAGTGATTATGAAACATGCACGCTTCGAAGGGAGTGGGGGTGAGAAAGGTCAGTTTGTGAGAGGAGAGGACGCTTTGATTATGGCCCCTTCATGCCCCACCCCGCTTTATGAGCTTTGACAAAGAGCATACAGATCCCATTTCACTGTTCTCAATCACACACGTCAAGCTCCTCTCCCTTTTTATGTGCCCTTAATGTTTGCTTCTGTCTGCATCCCCTCTTTGCAGTACTTTCTCTGTTTATTAAAGCCTTTACAGTACAGTCCTTCACATATCAGTTTTTTTCATCTGTCATTATCTCATACTTCCCCCATTTGTTATATATTTTTTATACCCTTCTCTGTAAAATAATAGATAACTTAGATAAGTAATTTGCGAGATTTGACAATCTGTAGTTTATTCAAATGAGTCTGTATTGCATTCTTTATTTGGCTGATTTGCCATTTGGAGTAGAAACATATTATATTCCCTTTCAAAGTTCCTCTAAATCAGTCATGTAATTCACATAATGTACACAGACGCCCACTGTAATGATAGCTCATATCTGAGCAAAGAAAATGTTACCTCTAAATGCCATACCTGTCAGTAAAAGCTATAATTACACATGGGGCAAAGGCTACTTCTTAAAGGATCACAGTGTTAGACAGAGCTCAACTTGTCTGACTGAAAGTCATTCCAAGTTCTGGGTTCTTGCTTACTCATGAAAGGAACTGAGACAAAGAAAGGAATCAATGGCTAGTGAAATCATGTAAAAATATACTTAATTGTATTTTTATTTTATTTTGTAGTTTGATTACTCCACGATTGAAGGGAAGTTTACCAAACAGGAGGAGAGGAAAGCATCGTCACTGGGTGTTCAAGACTTGCCCACCAACTCTGGTTTTGATAATGATGGAGTGCAAACAGTACGAGCATCGATGTTTGACCATGTGGTGGAGAGGCATAATGTTCAAATGATGGAGGATAACACTTCACAAGACCCAAGAGCACAGCAGGAAAGCACAATTAAACCCATGCCCAGTCGAAGCCACTCTTTGTGTATTCAAGATAACACCTTTAAAGCTCTTGAAGATGATGATTCTGGTAGTTTGGTCAAAGCAACCTATAGAGAACAAGTTTCTCCTTCCAGCCATGTACGTGTGGAGCATGTCTTTGACACTGTGGCTGTGTTTGGAGAGAGCCATGCTGTTAGTGAGGTTTTGCCAACCGCTTCGCTTGAGGACAGAGCTAACACACTGCGTTCTCGGCGATCAGCTTCTCAAGGTAAAGAGGACAGACCTACTCATGAGATAAGTAACCTGCTAAAAGATGAAGCAGCCACTGCACGTTACCTCAGAGTAGGGGCATTACACAAATGGACTGCCACAGAGGCAGACAGAGAGAATGAATCTCAGAGGGAGCAACGGAGAGAGATGTTGAGAAAAATGGAAGAAGAGATACAGAGGCAGACAGAATTGCACATAACTGCAGCAGCAGCATTGGAGGAAGAGGAGGAAGACATCGAAGCAGAAAGGAAGAAACTGTTAGAAGCACAAAGAGACAGAGAGAGGGAACGAGAGGAAGTTGCAGCACCCAAACGGCCTAAGATGTTAGAAGCTGAAGAACAAATGAACAAACCTAGAGCCACTTACTTTGCTCTGACAGGCCAGATTCAAGAGCCTGTGCATCAAGGTGACAGAGTGGATGAGGAAGCAATCTTAGGGAGAGTTAAACGAGGTATGGTGGGTGGAGAGAACAGAGGGATGAAGGAGGTTCCATTTGATGATTTCACTGTTAGATTAGGGCAATGGGGTCCTCAGAATCCAGTTGCTCCATTTAGAAGAAATCCTTCATTGGAAGCTGCAATGCAGAGAGATTTGCAAGAGGAACAGCATAAAAATGACACTGGACTAAGAACAGATCACAGATTACAAGAAAGGGAACGGCAAAAAGCAGTTAGGGAGGAGATGGAAATAGAGAGACAAAGACAAGCAGAGTTTGAAAAGGTGAAGAAGCAGAGAGATTTGGAGATAGAGAAACAAAAAATTGAAAGGGAGAAAAGGAGAGAAGTTGAGAAACAGAAAGAGAAAGAGAGACAAAAAGAGTTGCAAAGACAGAGGGAGTTGGAGAGACAAAGGGAAATTGAACGACAGAAACGAGAAAAGGAGCGACAGAAACAAATTGAATATGAGCGAATGAAGGCTGCAGAAAAAGAGCTAGATCAGCAGAGAGAGTTTGAGAGGCAACGACAAAAAGAGTTTGAACGAGAGAGAGAGAGAATGCTCGAACAAGAGATGCTTAAGCTTAGAGAATTTGAAACACAGAAAGAGATGCTGGAGTTGGAGAGACAAAGGGAAATCGAAAGACAAAAGCAGAGAGAACTTGAAAAACAAAGAGAGATGGAGAGGCTAAAGGAGTTAGAAAGACAGCGAGATTTGGAGAGGCAACGAGAATTGGAGAAACAGGAAGAGCAAGAGAGGGAAAGACAAAGCCGGTTGGAAAGGCAGAAAGAATTGGACAGGCAGAGGGAACTTGAGAGGCAACGGGAGTTGGAGAGACAACAGGAGATTGAAAGACAGAGGGAGACTGAAAGGCAGAAAGAACTTGAACAGAAGCAGAGAGAACTTGAGATTGAGAAATGGAAGCGACAGAAAGTAAAGGAGAGGGAGGCCAGGAAAGAGCTGGAAGAACTTGAGAGGATCAAGGAGCTTGAGAGACAAAAGCTTCTTGATTTTGAGTTGCAGAGACAGCGGGAAAGGCAACTCCAGCAAGAGCAAGTGAAACCGAGATCAAAAAAAGAGCGAGAAGAGAGACAACAGCAGCCTGAACGACAGAGAGGAGCAGAGCGACATCGGATGGAGACAGAGCAAGAGAAATCTATACCTACATCTCCACTTCGGCCTAAAGTTCTTGATCTGGATGCAGTGTCCCTTGGTTTTAGGAGTGGTCGAGACAGCCATGAGAATAGCCCCACAGCCCGATGGAAGCAGCCCTCACTTCGTCCTGATGAGCTTTACAAACCTGCCATCTTAGACATTGATTCATTCAGGAGTCAAACCCAACCTGATACCTTCTCTTTAACTGGATTTAGAGGTTTGGAGTCAGGAGGTGTTGGTTCAGTGATTCAAGCTCGTCCACAGGCCACAAATGTTCTCCAACCCCAAATTGCTTCTCAAGTTCAGTCTCCTCCTCAGTCCCAGGCTTTCTTCCAGCCCTCCCCAGCAGAACGTATGAGAACTCAACTCCCGCCTCCTCTGCAACCTCAAATTCTGCATCAAACCCAACCTCATTCACAGCCATTTCCTACAGAAAGACCTAGACCACAAACCCACTCATTGATTGATACCTCAGATTGGCCCTTAGGTGCTCAGCAGCCCATCTCAGCTTTGCCCCATGAGCAAACTAATGCTTGGGGACATACTCGAGCAGAGTTGGCTGTAGATGAGCCCCTTTGGGTATCAGCCATGGAAGGATCCAGAAGACCAATTAGCACCAGACCTGGTGGCCTTGATCAGCAACTCTTGCGTCATGAGGATAGAAGTTTAAGTAGCATTTTGACACCCAGTTGGAACTATTCCATGAGTCCAGTCTTTATTCCTTTACAGCATCCCACTCTTGCACCATCCATGGTTCAAATTCAAACTACTGTGCCGACTGCACAACCAGGTCTTGGACCCTTTGTAGCCCTTACAATGACCCCAGAGAGATGCTGGACCTCAGCACCTTTGAATGTGGGGTCAAGTGGAGCTTTGGTTTCTTCTCCCACAACACCATTAGCTAAGAAAGAGACTCCAGTACCCACTAGTCATGTTGCAACCTTCTCTGTCACCGAACCTATGTGGAGTCCAAACTGGGAGCTGGCATCCCAGGGACAGAGAGAGAACCATGCCTCACACAGGGACAAAATACAACAGGTGAGGAAGAACACACTCTGGCATAGAAGTTTGCGCACACACATTCCCACCGTATAGTAATTTTGTGTGTTTTGTTGTGTTTAGCATAGTATTGACATTGGTCAGTTGAATTGCAGAACCACCCAACTATTGGTATTGAAAAATGTTCTTTGGAGTGATCAAATATTTTGTCAGCATCTCCCTAGTTGTGTTGCATTGTGTTTCTTTTGAATTCCTTAAAAATTTCCCTTCTATGTTTGTGTAGAAACGTTCAAGGAGTATGTGTCGAAGATCTGCCCCAACGGAAAGCTCTGCCGATGGCCCGCTTACCCATGTAAGAACTCGCAGAAGTCGCAGTGCACACAAAGAAAGAAGTGGCAAGAGCTCGGTAAGTAGGAGCATAATCAGATTTAAAACCTTTGTTTTGTGTATTTTTCTCTCTGTATGTCACTCATTTTCTCATACACATGCTCGCACACACAAACCTATTTACAGGTACTTTGCACTAAGGCTGGGTAATATATTTACTGAGGGATGCAGTGAGATAAAAAGTTTTGGTCAGTTGCAAATTTAACATGTTTTGTCACTGCTGAGTTTAGCTTTTGCTGTCAGTTTTGTTTGTGTGTTGTGTTTTGTTTGTACATCGACAGTTAAATTACACCCCCACAAATCTTTTTTTTTTTGATGTTGTAGTAACATTCAGTCGTTTCAACTAAACAGTACTGCATTCCATCTGTTAGTTGGATGCAACTAAAACTAGTCTACGCAATAGATGAAAGGAAAAAAGTAGCTTTAAGTAGCTTTTTTTATAGAGATTATGTTTATATTAGCACTTCTAATTAACAAATAGTGTACGGCTTTTTTTTTTTTTATTAATTCAAATTTCCTTATCTCACCTGCCTTTTATAACACAAATTTGTCATCTTGTCAGTGAAGGTGCAAGCTTTTGCAAGGTGTAAGAAGCTTGTTAATTTCTCAACTTATGAGACTTTGCCAAAATCACTGAGGTCATTGTTTCTCTCGCTCCATCATTAACATTGTGAAGTTGTTTTTGTTCAGTTCCTAACCTAAAACTTGTAATGTAGTACACAGTTTTGAGCTATATTTCAGATGTTGTCAAATGTACAGTATGTGGAAAATAATGTTTTTTTAACCTTAAACCGCATAAACACATTTCATTATACCAAATAATGTTCTTTTTAGCAACATCATATGACCCCTTTAAGAAAACAGATGAAATTGCCCAGCCCTACTTTGTACATGGACCAGCAAACATCTTGCATAAGAGTCGAGCTCTTCACAATGTCCTAATGGAAAGTGTATAAAAATGAAGGATGGAGAGATCGCCTGTTGACTTCTGATGATGTCACCAGCTTTTGGAGACCAGATGTTGGAGGAGTTCCCCAACAATGTGAATAACAGCTGTCATATGACCCTTTCTGGCATGCAGTGCTCGGCTAATGAAGTTTGCCCATATCTGATGGACTTTATAGAATTGTTAAAGCGCACATTGAACTAGGTATTTAGGCTGAGTGTCATTAAAGCTGAATGTTTGTATTTATATGCATGTTTGTCGGGTATGGAGGCTAAGTGTTTTATTTGTGTGTGTTTGAGTGGGTGGTGCAGAAATGCAGTCTGATTACAGAAAGGAGTGCCTTAAAGTTACTGTGTAATGGTAGAGCATTTTCTACATGGCTACACTGCTAGCAGTGAGTAAGATTGTGTAAATCAAAGTAAAAACAGACTTAATCACAATCATAACAACTGTGTGGAAAGTTATGAACATGTATGGACAACATTAACTCCAGTTTAACCATTCTTTTGAAGAGCTTAAGATTGATCACCTTCTTGTTGTTGGTTGACGGATTCATTGACATTTCGTACAAATTCTTGAATGATGAAGTGTTTTCAGAAAAGAGGGAAGTTTTTCCACCTAGAGACTTACTCAACAAGGCAGTTTCAGTCTTTTTCTTTTCTGAGTTCCTCTGAATGCATACATAGTGCCATCTGCTGTATGAATCAAGTTATTACAGTGTTGATTTTTATGATTCACAGTTAGCTGTGGCTATAAAATGTGGCTGATCTGGCAGCCGAGAATATCCTCTTACTTAACCTTTAATTTCATTTGAAACTGAAACCTTTCCAGGACTGATAGTTTGTTTCTTATTTTAATTTTTGATTTTATTGTTGTTATGTGGGTGTCTACATGTGGGCTTCAAGAGGAAGCATTCTCTCTCTCTCGCTCTCATCTCATCTCAGTATTGGTCATCATAGGAAGTGTCATTTTTACATCACTGTGTGCTCACGGGCTCAGAGGATTTACACAGACACTGAGAGAGGTAGAGAAGTAATGAACATTCACATAAACTTCACAAAAGTAAAGACTGTAAGACATTCGTTTGGGCTAAATAGAAGGATTTGCTTCATAGAAACATGGCTTATCACTTCTGTACTTCCTGCTGTTGGTGGCTGTGGGTAAGCTTACTTTATTTTACTGTCAAGATGGCAATGCAACTGCACATACCACTACTCAGCCATAATTCTTCATGCTATCTGAGATAAATGCAGACAAATGCTAAGATGTTTGACTCTTGGATGAAGCCAGTTTTATATTTTTAATTTTTTTACTAGCATAGATGCATTCAGTCTTTTATAACATTGATTTGGGAAGTTGTTTCTTCCCCTATGATTTGTGTGTATCATACTGTTCAATAATATTATCTTTATGTGACCAAGGTGAGGCCTCAGTAGATGCTTCCGGTTGTCTGGCTAATTAAATAGATATTGTTTTCACTCTGTTCTTTTAATTTCCTGAAAGTTATTCAGGTGATGGATGTGGACAGATGGCTCACCCTCCATAAAAATTACTTTCTTTCTGTCTCCCCAGGCATCTTTGAATGAATCAGATATGGGTTTTGGGCTCAAGTAGTACAGTTTGAAAAATCAAGCAATTCATTCTGTATATTGAACTTTTTTTGGTATCTGTTATCATGTTATTAGAAATACAATAGTAATTTCTGCTTGTATTGTGCAAATGTGAGCCTAGTACTCATATGCAGTATCAGAAATATTAAATATAGATAGATACCATGGATGAAGTTTTTTTTTAAACTATAGAGTACACATTTTATTCAGCTAGCGCTGCTCATTGACTGGCTGTGTGCATCTTGCAGCTAGACCAAAACATATGCCTCTGTAGCATTTTTATTGGTTTTATCAACTATACATCATTTTAGTATGCATGCCAGCTGTATGAACCAGTTCTGTTAATGTAAATGGCCAAGCCAATCTTAAACAGTGCACAATAAACATATTCAAGCAACCAGGTCCAGTTCCCTTCTAAATCATCTGCACATCAACAGCATCTCGTTGATTGTCATATGACTATAGGAGATGGTTTCGGTGAAAAAAAAGAGTTCAAACACCAAGGAGTTTAGATTTGTTTCATTCCCAAATTTGAGCTTCTTATTGAGCAAACAGATATCTTGCTTTAACACTTAACTTGGCCATTGCTGTGTCAGAGGTCCTGTCAGCTTGCACTGAGTCATAATACTGGGATCAAATAAAATGAATCATCTCTCTCACAGCTTTTGTTACATGGCTTGATATAAGAAAAGCCAAAACATCCGCATATGTCGTAGCCTGAGCCACCACCTGTGTATGCTGTCATTTTCAGTTTTGATGTGTAAAGTGTTCACACAAAGGAGGTAGCATAAGTCAGTGTTACCCTTCCTGTATAAGGCAATATCCGGTCTAAAGAGGAACATCAAACAATTTAGACCACTTGTTCTATTTGGACTTTAGAATTGCTCTTTGTTATCTTCATGTAGTCAGAATAATAGGATGTAACCCAGTAATCAAACCCAATATGCTGTTGTTTGTCGTTAAAGGCTAAAGGCTAACCCTTTTGTGTTGTCATGTTACTGGGATATTGGAACAGGCGACCGACTGATGACCAAAAATGGGGTCATGTCATTTTAAGCGAAATACCACACACAAAGTGTACGCATATACACAGTACTGTCATATTGGGACCAAATTTATTTGACAATTATATTACACTACATTAGTTAGAAACCGCTGTAGTTTGACAGCATTTTTAAGTACATTGAAAGATTTTGGGTGTCCTAAACTAACGTGATTACTTTGGTAATGGGCTTTTATGTCTGTTAATAGTCACAAGGTTTCCAAAACTAGGGTGAATACCACACACAAAGTGTACGCATATACACAGTACTGTCATATTGCGACCAAATTTATTTGACAATTATATTACACTACATTAGTTAGAAACCGCTGTAGTTTGACAGCATTTTTAAGTACATTGAAAGATTTTGGGTGTCCTAAACTAACGTGATTACTTTGGTAATGGGCTTTTATGTCTGTTAATAGTCACAAGGTTTCCAAAACTAGGGTGGAGTAAGTAAAGCTCTCCGTCATATACTGGTGATGTACGTTATATATTTTCTAAGCAGCACAAACTATGACTGATGTCTAAATAAATATGCTGTATGAAAACGCAGTAAGCAGGAGATTCCAGTTCTTTGAGGTGGTTTTACCATCAGGCAGATGACTGAATCATGAGCAGTGCCTCTGTGACTCATTTGAATGCCAGGCTGACATGATGGTTTTCTTGTGATGATTCATTAATAAAAGTATGGTAGTCATTTTACCATTCAGCACTGTGGCTAATGTATGTACTTAAATTATATGTGACCCTGGACCACAACTTTACCATCAGGCAGATGACTGAATCATGAGCAGTGCCTCTGTGACTCATTTGAATGCCAGGCTGACATTATGGTTTTCTTGTGATGATTCATTAATAAAAGTATGGTAGTCATTTTACCATTCAGCACTGTGGCTAATGTATGTACTTAAATTATATGTGACCCTGGACCACAACACCAGTCTTAAGTCACTCGGGTATATTTGTAGCAATAGCCAAAAATACACTGTATGGGTCAAAATTATCGATTTTTCTTTTATGCCGAAAATCATTAGGATATTAAGTAAAGATCATGCTCCATGAAGATATTTTGTAAATTTCCTACTGTAAATATATTAAAACTTCATTTTTGATAAGTAATATGCATAGCTAAGAACTTCATTTGGACAACTTTAAAGGCGATTTTCTCAATATTTAGATTCAGATTCCAGATTTTCAAATAGTTGTATCTCGGTCAAATATTGTCCTATCTTAACAAACCGTACATCAATGGAAAGCTTATTTAGTTTTCAGATGATGTATAAATCTCAATTTCGAAAAATTGACCCTTATGACTGATTTTGTGGTCCAGGGTCACATATGGACGTCAGCCAGATTCTCCTCATGTCAGTTTATATTGTATCTGTATTTTAAATCTTTGCCTCTATGCTGATTATCTT